GCTTGTGGTCAGCCTGGGGTACAAAGTAAGTTTAAGACCTGGCTGAACTGTATAGCAAGACTCTGGGAATAGAAAAAAAAAACAAGCCAAACAAAACAAAACAGAGTTGAGAGTCATTTGCCAATGAAATTAAACTCAAACTACAGGAATACTTCATCCAGGCAAATAACGTTTATTACAAAGGCAGGCAGAGCCTGTTAGGGCATACTGGTTCCTCAGTGAATCGACCGGTGTCTAACACCATCAGTTTCTAAGTAAATATACCTTGAAGTGATCCATTGAAGGGCAAAATAGATGAGTACACATGAATTAGGAGCAAGGAGGATTATAAATAATTTGAATGTCCAGTAACAAGGTGAGCAAGGGAAAGGGAGCCCAGGTTCCTTGCAATCAGAAGTGGAAGAAAGCAGGAAAAAGAAGAGAGGCCGAAGAAAATCCCACCTGCTTCACAGTTTTCCTTAGACCTGTGCCAGGATTCATAGTCTTTCTTCAGGAAAAGCAGGACATGAACTACAGTGTGTCCTTCGCTCCTATTGTCCATTTGAGAGTCCCTTTGGTCAGGGGCTTACACTGAGCTTTTGTGGTCCTGAGCTCTCCAGGGTGTTCTTTCTGGGTGTTTGAAGCTAGTAGCAAGTTCTATCTGTCCCAGGACTCCTGAGTGCACCCTTCCACATCTTCCCGAGCTCCAGTGGGCTGTAGGATCTGCCCATCCTTCTAGACGTTCACCATTTTCCTGCCTCAAGTTTGGGCGGGACTCAGATTTCCTTCTCCGACTATGATTATGAGACACACAGCTGGCTTAGTGGAAATTCTTGTTCCTTGGCTACTTGTCATGGGTCCCGCATAGTGAGGAGACAGGAGGAAGTGTTGTGATCATTTCCTCGAAGAGGATTAATCCAAGAGCACACCCACACGTGGGTCACTAGTGACTATTTCTCTTGGAGGGAAGGAAACAGGATAAGAGGAAGAAAAGCAGTAAAAAGAAAATCCAAGCCCATTCAGGAAATGTGGGTGTGGAAGTGAGGCTTGGCTTTAGGAAACCAGCATTACAGGAAAGTCTGTCTTCAGTTGAGGGTGTTATTACTCGTCTACTTCATCACTGCAAACTCCTGCCTGTGAACTTCAGATTAAACATAATGTCAAGTGAAGTGAATCAGACACACGAGCTTAAATATGAGATGGTTTCTCTTAGGTGAGAAGCCAAGCCCAAAATTAAGGATACTAGAAAGTAGGGGTGGATCTTTCTGAAGTGGGAAGGGAATGGAGAGATGTGACAAGGTGAGGGGGCCTGGGAGGGAGGGAGGGAAGAAGGAACTGCACGTGCCTGCACGTGCGCCTTCGCCACACAAGGAATGGACCGAAAGAAAATTAAGGAAAATTGTAGTCTCTCCATGCCTGAAACAAACAAACAAAACCCTGCTAAGACTCCCTGGTGTGTATTTAAAATGCTTGGGCCCTGACTTTCGTAGGCTCCTGTTGTGAAAGATTTGCACACATGATTTCTAAGCTTTTCCCCAGATCTCCAGGCCTCTGTGTTTTCTCTCCATTCCAACTAATTACGCCTGCTGCTAAAACCTTTGCTCATGGGCACTTCTGAGAAACCCATGAAAATTCAGGATTTTCCCTCTCCTGAACACTCGCGATATTTGCATGGGCTTCAGAAGCCTCGTGGGTCCTTCTGAAAAGACTGTTGCAGACCCCCACCCTCCTAATCTGCTTCACAACTCCACACCGCAGGCCAAGTACACTTTCAAGCCTACAGGCTGCTATTCAAACTCCCCACATCATGTGTGTTACCTGTTCCTCCAAATGTCATTCCAGAAGTTCATTTATTTAGCTTGTAGGAGTCTAACATTTACCCCTTCAGAAACATGAAAATCATGCATTTTATGTATAGGATTATGTACATAGGTAAATACAAAACAGAAAACCATACATGGCAAGCAGAAAGGTAGCAAAGATGGATTGTATGCAGGTCTTGTTGCTAAAGAGTCTCCAGTCTGGACAGAAAGATAAGATAAATAAGTCATGAAATGAAATAAAAAGCAGCGATGACTGTGGCGCACCCTGGTGCCTGGCTCCCCATCAGTTTCTCTTTATCTCTTGATGTTAGAAACAGATTTTGGTTCATTTTTCAGTTTTCCTGGTTGTAAATGATTTCATTCAGATGTTTGAAAGGGAGCAGGAACAAAATCCTTCGCTCTAGTGAGGACCCCGATGTGCGAGGAGTGAGGGCGACGTCGGGAGGGCCCCGATGTGCGAGGAGTGAGGGCGACGTCGGAACTGCAGCACCCGTGTTGTCGCTGGAAGCTGCAGCGGAGGAGTCTCAGCCAGCGAGGGAGGGCCAGGGCTAGCTGCCCCTCCGCCTTCTAACCCCTCCAGCTGAGAATGTTCTGAGGTGTTTTCTGGGTCTTGAGCTGAACACATCCTGACTGCTGCAGGAAACTCACAACAGATATGGATAATGGTCCCCACGCCGGAGAGACAGGACAGGCTCTCCGGTTACACATGTATGGACAAGAGCATATTTAGAAGCATATGTACCTGTATAAAAATCTGTATATTTACTTATATACGTAGTATACATTTTGCATCATTTAGCTTCTGCTACCCCTAGCAGTGACCCTGTGGGAAAGTTATTTTATGAGCTTTCTCATCTTCATCTATAAAATCGCATGGTATTCCTTCATATGTTTTTATGAAGATTAAATGAGATGTATGTCTAGCTCTTGGCCTAATATCTGACACACGATACATACTCAGTATATGGTATCTATTGATGTTGGTTCTTTCTTGCAAATGAAAAATATTTATTGAGTACCCCTACTAGGCTTTAATGATAGTTGTGAAAGAAAACTCAATACGCTCTCTGTTCTTATGGAGTTTACCATTTAGCCGGTGATGACACATATAAAACTATAATTGTAACTGAGGCGAGTACTATGGCACAAAGGTGTGCAGCACCGTGGAATTCACCACTGGAGCAGGTGAACTCGGCTTTGCCGGGGTACGAGCATCTACCCTGGCAAGCAGTGTTTGAGCTTGGGAACTGTCGCAGGCAGTACATCATTCTGTTTTTCATGGAAGAATAAACGGGAAGCAAAGCCACATGATTCCTTGTTGCCGGATGGTAAGCTTCTGAGCACAGGCAGTATATTCAGATAATTGCCAATTTATTTTTATCTTTGTACCCAGCACACTGCCTGGTACACGGGGATCACACATAAACACAGTGGCCTGAGTGAATGAACTCCTCCGATTATCAGTGTCCTGTGAGAGAGGTGGAGAGGGAGAGAAAAAGAGAGAGAAACAGCGTATCTCTTAGGAGATAGGAGTCTGGAGCCCCTGGAAGCACAACAAAGTTTCCATAACTACAGCTGTCATTATTACTGCTATTGTTATTGCCGTATAATTTGCATATGTTCTCTCTAATACTACTACAAGACTTGGGTGGCAAGAAATGTGTCCTATTTAACTTTGAATATCTAAATGTTACTAGTGCCATGTTCTGCATACAACTCTCTAGAACTTCAGAGAATGGCTGACATGTTAAATTAGGAACTCAGCTGACAATTTCAAGAAAGCATGCATCCCACCATGGAAGAGGACTAGGATTCAAAACCCCACTGAAATCAGGTTGGACACATAATTTGCTTTGACCAACTAAATATGACAAAAATCATTTTGTGTTACTTCTAGGAAAATCTTTAAGAACCCAGTGGCTGTATTCCTCCCTCCATCTCAGACAGGAAGAGCATCAGATTCCAGAAAGTGACTTCCGGACTGGAGTGTGAGCCCCACAGAAATGGGGAGCAAAGAGACAGCAGCCCATGGTAAACATGAGTGAGAACGAACAGGCCTCACTGAAGGCCAGAAAGCAAACGCAAAGGGTGTGCACGGAAAAGATAAACTTGCAGAGCTTGCTTAACTATTCTCTGTAGGAAATATGTAGTAAGTTTCTAGAATACAGGTAAGGTACGTAAGGGCAACCTCTAAAACTGTTTGCAAAGACACCCAGAGTCCTATGTGGGAGGGAAAGAAAGCCGCTGCAGGACATTTGTGCTGGGAATGAAAAGTGCCTGGCTTCAGTGTCAGCTTCCCCGAACTGCACAATCTAGAGTGATCGAGCCCTGTCATCCTTGCCATTTGGATTCTCTGCCTGCCCCTTGCAGCCATCTGACACTTGCCCCTTCCGTTGATTGATTGCTGCTGCCCCACACAGGGACAGCAGGTGCACGGAGCAGGGTCCTGTCCGACCTGTCCCCTGGCTCTGCATACAGCATCCAGAGCCATATCCTGCACAGAGCTGGTGGACACATAAATAGTTGAAGCAAAGCAGTACGCCATAGCTCCATCTTGGAAACAACCCAAAAGCCCACCAGCTGAGGAATGGATAAAAAAGATGTGACCTTTTATACAATGTGGTATTACTCAGCTATAAAAAAAAAAAAAGGTAAACTCGAGGCTTTTATAGGTAAATGAATGCAACTAGAGATCATACTCATAAGTGAAATAAATCAGACACACATGTATAAATATTGTCTCCTTACTGTAAGAACTGGAAA